CCCCCCCCCACGCACACATACACACGAGAATACTTTTAACATCAAATGATGGAGTTCTTATATTAAGCTCAATTATGGGATCATTTTGTTTTAAAAAATTTGTTTTTCAAATGGTTTTTTAAAAACATGTTACTGAAACAGGAACTAATTTTTTTGAGATACAGTCTCCACTATATTCTTAACTTGCTATCATTTGAGCCTTTCCTCATGGGGTATATAATCCAAAAAACAATCTGAAAAATCACTTTTTGTTCCATTTGTTCCAGCTTTTCCTTTCTTCCCTCCCCCCCTTTCCATTTGTCCTTCACTTCCTCTGTCTTGCCTGCTCAAAGTACCTGGTGGAGTTAGGAACTGATCAAAAACAAAATACCCTGTAGCAAATCACCGGGATTTGGGTGACCAGGATGGTTTCCCCCAGCCCAGTATGTAATGTCATGGTGGTTTGGAAGTGGACAGTGGTGGTTCGCTTGGGCTTTCTTCTCCTCTGCTGTGTCTTTGTCCTTGGGGCTCTGGGGCATCACTGGGCCTGAAGACTGAATCACTCAGCACGTGCTTTTGGGCTGGTGATTGAACTAATCTCTTAAATGTGCTCTATTCTAGATTCTTCTTACGGTTCCAGCTTTTTAACAGTGAGTATCTTAATGAAAGTTTGAATCTCTGTCATGGTTAAGACTGTATTTAAATCTAGTTCACACTTTCAAATGGTCTGACTGAGTAATGATTACATTGGAGGTGTGTTTGGGAGCCACCTTCCCTGCTGACTCGAGAGATGAGTTTTAGTCTCCATAGAGCCGGCTCAGGTGCTGCTGAGGCCTGCAGGTGCCGGGGTACCCACAGAGCCCCTCTGAACTCTCACGAGCCTGGATCTGCATGTTTGACCATGACCTTTGACCCCCTTGAGCACGAAGCCTTCTTTCTTACCTGTGGGCATGACTGTCCTCGCCCGGCCACCCCCAGGGATGTGTGTCCAGGGCTGGCTGCTTTGTGGTTGTCACAATTGGAGACAGGCAGGGAGGCCGGTGGTGGCCCTGAGGGGCAGAGGCCAAGGCTGCTGCCAGTGTCCTCCCACAGAGACGCACTTGGCAAGGGCCGCAGCGCAGGGGAGCGGGGGACAGGGTCCAAGCCTGGCTCTGAGGGTCCTCTGTGGCATCAGCAGGAACACTGTGGCCACAGCCACGCATATGCGGGGACCTGGCTGATTCTAAGAAGGACTTAGTTAGGAAAAAAGAATGTGGGATAAAATCATAGGAAAGTGAGAGAATAAGGGCCGGATTCTGGTTGGACGGGGCAGCCTGCCCGTGGGTCCTGTAAGCAGCCACTCTGGGCATGGAGTCACCACCGAGGTTGGCGGACTCTTGTCCTGACTCTGATGCACCAGGTCCAGGGGAAAGCACTGTGGGACCTGTGAATGAAGAGGCTCAAGAATAACTAGAGAACTGGAAGTAGGACAGGGCACCATTTCAGTGACGAAATTAGCACTTGTCAAGGAAATTATGATCCTCACTGCATGTCATATTGTAGCCCACTGATATAATCACGTATGTCTCCAGCAATAAAGCTGGAGGCAATAACTTTTGAAGAAGTAACCTGCTATCCTTTGTCCCCATAATCATTCTGACAATTTATCTTCCTTATAATGCAAAAGAGTTGAAAAGCTGTATGGAAAGTGATATTAATTTGTAATGATGGATCATTTTAATATCCCAAAGTAGGGTCAGTAGATGTTGATGGTTTGCTTAGTGCGGCTGCTTAATAATTGGTGTTGTGCATGGAGAATGGTTGTGTCAGGTCATGGCTCTGAAGTGAAGGACCCCGTCAGGTCTTGGTGTGACTGTGATGTTCAGACGTTTACACCCATGGACAATGGCTGTCATGATGGGGAAGTCCTAGGTGACTTTCCTGGTACGGAGAACGCCTGAGGGTGAGGTGGCTTCACTGGGAGGAAGTGGCGGTGGGCACGAGGTGCACGTCGAGTCTCGCACACGGGAGTGAGCAGATGGACAGACGGTGGCCAGCGTGGGGCCAGAGAGCAGTGAGCACAGTGACCTGCTTGGCCTGCTGCACATGCTGCGGTTAATGCCTCCTCGTGTGGCCAGGGGCGGATGGTGGCAGGTGGTGGGTTCTCTGCTTCTGCAGTGAGTGTGATGCAGGTGTGCAGTGACTCCGCAGTCGGGGTGACTCTGAGCTGAGGCTTAGCATCTGAAAACTTGGAGCAGTGGCGTCCTGAGGTCAGGAAGGTGTGGGCCCAGCTTGTGTTGGTGGTGGAGTGGGCAGCAGCAGAAGGGAATCCGAGGTAGCCCTGGGAACGTGAGTGATGCATCCAGAGGCTGTGCGGAGACCTGGCTGGAGTGGAGGTAGGCAGGCTGGGTTTGCAGGAATTTGAGGGTGACATTTGGGGTCATCTCAGGAGAGAGGAGAGAGGCAAGAGAGGCTGAGCTCTGGGCACTCTCAGGAGGAGCACAGGTGAAAGGAGAAAGATGAGGCGGCAGAGGTGAGGAAACCATGCAAGGGAGCAGAAGGACCGGCTGTGCAGATGCTGGGGTGGATCCTGAGGGGAGGTGGCGGGAGAGGCCATGGGCCTGGCGCACAGAGGTAGCCAGAGATGCCCAGGGAGGGGTGACAGGGTGCAGGGGTCTGGGCTGGGGGGCATGGAGAGGTGGAGATGAAGGCAGTGTGGGGTGCTGCCTGCACCCCTCTCCTCCCATGCCCACCCGAGCCTCATTCATCCCCTCTGAAGTGGACACTTCCCGGGAGCCCAGACCCCCGAGCCGAGCACCCCAGCTGAGCTGCGCTTTTGGCTTTTATATGTGCTCCTCTTGTGCACAGGGTCAGCCCGAGAGGGTGGGGAGGCGAGGCCCCGAGAGTGTCCACCTGCAGGACCCTGTGGTGTCCGGACGTGAAGTCCTTCTGTCGTCACCTTTCTGTCTTTCTTCTCCCCACTTCCTCCCTCCCTCTCCCCCTCTTCTCTCTGTGCCTGCCTTCCTTCCTTTTACTTTTTACTTCCTCTTCTCCTCTCTTCTTTTTTTTCATTTCTTTTTCCTTTTGACACTTTATAATAATTTTAAATTTTAGGTTTTTCTAACTTTTTATTTTTTGACTTGATTTCATACTTGTATAGAAAAGTTGTCCATACTTTTAAAAATGAAAAAGAAAACTCTAATGGAATAGTTTTATAATTCTGCCTATTCCACACAGTGGCAGGTCGACATGTTAGGTGCAAGCTTCTACGAGAGAAGGGCTCTCTCTGTCTGTGTCTGTGTCTGTCTGTCTTTCTATCTCTCAGTTGGTTAATAAAGCTAAAAAGGGTGACTTTTGGTATTTTTTCCCCATCACCAGATGGATCTCAATCAAACCGAGGACATGCTATCAGAACTGGAAATCCTCCACCAGCAGCCATACCTCTGGGATTTCCTGCATTCACTGCCAAGACTACAAACAAACAGAGTTCTTGTGGGAGACACCACACAAACTGCAGTGTACTTTCTCCAGGCTGTGCTAAAGTAAGTGAAAAAGTAAAATACAGGAGTTGATTTTCCCACCTTATTTTTAGTGGGAAAAAACACATCACTGCATAACTGTTTGATAAAAGAAAAACTTGACAGTAATGTCGCCTGCGGACACTTGGAGCCCTGGAACCTGTGCGTCTGTCCCTCACCTGTCTGTGGACATCTCTTGCCTTGGTGCAGGGATGTTCAGAGGATATTTTCTAT